GTCTGGGCTGCCCCTCGCTAGGCTCTGCGTCTAGATCTTGGATGAGAAGAGGAGGGTGACGGTCAGCATCGTGGTCACCCATCCTTTCCCATAAGCGCAGCTCAGGCAAGTGGAGTGCTTTCTGCAGCACCGAGGCCCACTGCCTTCGGACAGTGAACACTGTTTCTAGCGTCTTAGCGAATTTGCTGGGGCTGCCGTAACACGGTGCACAGACGGGTGGCTTGAACAACAGACGTGAAGTTTCTCACAGTCCTGGAGGCTGGAAGTCCGAGATCAGGGTGTCAGCAGGGTTGGTTCCTTCTGAGGCCTCCCTCCTGGGCATGTAGATGCCGTGTCCTCCCTGTGTCCTCACAGGGTCATCCCTCTGTGTGTCTGTGTCCTGATCTCCTCTTATGACACTGGTTGCGTTGGATTAGGGCCCATCCTATCAACCTCACCTAAACTTAATGACTTCTTTGGAGATCCAATCTCTAAACACAGTCCCATTCTGAGGTCTGGGGGTTCAGATGTGAATTTTAAGGGGATACAGCTCAGCCCACAACGGTGTCAAGTTCGCTGGCATAGATTCCCTGCTTTCTGAAGTTGCTTTGGTTTCTCTGCTGCAAAGCAGAGAGCCGGAGGGTGGGGTCCCAGAGGATTACCCCCAGGCCACGACGTCTCATGGACTTCCCCAGCTGCATATGGAAACTGCACTGGACTGGGGCCTGCTGTTTTCTCCTTTTTAAAACCAGAATGTCTACCATGGCTCCCCCATGCCTGTCCCACCACTGAGATTTAGGAGCAGATAGCTTGTCTGCTGGTCGCAAGTCCACAGATGGAGAGAAACCGGGCCTCAGGAGAGCTCCTCCTGGGGCCTTGTTCACGACTGCCCTGGGGATTTAAAGGAGGAGATTTCAGTCTCTGAGTTGCTGCTGTAATGGGGTGGGAGGGGACCTGTGTGGTCACAGGGTGGGGTGGACATATTTTTCATGTGAGAGGAACCTGGATCTTGGGGACCAGTGGGTGGACTTCGGGGGGGCAGAATTTTGGCCCCCATGAACTCTCTCGGTGTTCCACCCGTTATGTCACATGGCCAGAGGACTGTGCAGATGGAATTCAGGTTGGTAATTAGCCGACCTGAAGAAAGGGAGATATCCTGGATGGCCCGGGAGGGACCCTTGTACCCATGTAGTCACAGGAGCCCAGAGGAGGAAATCAAAGGGATCTGAAGCATGAGGAGGACTCGATGGCCCATTGCTGGCTGGACGATGGAGGGGCCACGTGGAGAGAGTGGAGGAAGCTAATTCTTTGAGTGAGCGGTGGGCTTGGAAGAGGAACCCCAGGGGGCAAACCCAGCTGGCCCTTGAGTTTAGCCGGTTGAGACCCTGAGCAGAGGACGTGGCTGTGCTGTGCCAGGCTGCGGACCTACAGGACTGAGCGATGGCGAGGTGGTGTTGGGAGCCGGTGAGGTGGTGGTGATCCGTTACGATGCAGACCAAGATCAGAAGACATGGTAGGGTGGGCTCGATGAGGGGGCGCTGCACGTGCAGGTGGAATCCACAGTGGAAGGTGTGTGGCGTCACCACCCTGGAGAAGAAAACGGTGTCCTGATGGCCACAGGCAGCTTGGAGGGAGAAGCAGAAAGAGTGAAGCCACCCGATTGGCCCACGGGACAGAAGGATGCATCACGGCTTTCTGAAATGAAATGTAGGTAATATCGGTCTAATTTTTTTAAAGTCTTACATTTATGTATCTTAAGAATACAGGATAACATAGCCTATAAAATTGAAACCTTCAACAAGGAGTTAAAAAGAGGATAAACAAATGGCTGAGTCAGGGGACAGGAAGAAACATCACAAAAATATCCCTCTGTTTCTCTCACACACATTATTTGTTTAATCAGTCCTACCATGGAGTCCTACTAATTGCCACTGTTAACTAGTCCTATTGCAGTTTGGTATAAATAATAACATTTCTGTAACAGAACAACAAAAAATACAAAATAATATACAGTTTCAAGTAAATACCTATATTTCATATTATGTTGAAGTCATAAGCTATGTGAGGAACTATTTACTGTATGTTATATCATTATGGGTCTTTTGGTCTGATAAGGCTGTGTCTGGGGGTTTCTGTCTAAAAAGTCAGTCACCCTACTCGAGAGTGAACTCTGAGCACCGTGAGAGCAGGAGGAGGCGCGTGCAGGGAGTTGCCCGGCTCTGCGTCGAAGCCGGAGCCCAGGGAGGAGGTTTCTGAGCAGACAGGACCCAGGGCTCCGAGGGCGCCTCACAGGGCTGCTGTGGGATGGACCAATGTACCTCGTATTTGCTCCCTGCCAGATGGGGGCAGAACTATGAGAGCAGAGTACTCCACACAACAGCCTCGTGCCATTAGGAAAGAATAAAAGCTGCAGAAGCCAGATTATTTGCAAGAAATAAAAACATTGCAGTTAATGAATAGGAAGCCAAAGAACTACGCTTTCTTGCTTGTATAACAAAGGAGTGCTCATAACCTTCATTCCTGTAGAAAGACGTGGGGAGGTGAAAACTCGCTGTAGGAAAAAATGTCAAAACCTTTCTTGAGGAATAAACAGGTCTCGAAGAAGCCTAAGGGAAAGGTTTGCATTTCTTAATGGTGGATTTCTCTTGTGCAAACATCGTGCATGCAAGGAAGCCATTTAAAAAGAAAGAATTGAAAGAAAGAAACAAGGGTGGGTACCATTGCCTGGCAATAAGTAAACTGGAAATGGCCTGGTGGCTGACAAAGGCATGTGTGTGCATGTAAACACTCACACCCGTGGAGCGAGGATGGGCCAGTTAATGACGTCGGAGGGGCAAGAGAGAATGGCAAGAGCCTGGGGACCCAGATGTCGGTCAGCAGGGATAAATAGGCCCTCCCCAGGAGGGAACTCAACACAGCCATTAAGCACTGAAGGAGCAGCTTTGGTGGCCGAGTGAAGACTTCACTCCCTCTCATCTGCTGTTGGACATCATCCCAAAGCATTCAGAAGAAGCGGAAAAGCCGAGGCCACCCCTTGAAAGCAGGGGACAGACTCCTTCCGTGTGGGTCTCTCATGGTGGCACTGGGGCAGGTTCCTAGTGTGTCCCGGCTGGGCAGTGTCCCCATGGTGCATGGTGAAGGACACTGGAGTGAATCTGAATGTCACCTGGGACACTTGCCACACTGCTGGGCCCTGCCTGCCCCATGTGGCCAAGGAGGGACCCAGGTGACCTGAGGGCCTGGCGGGGCATAGGGGAAGACAGGAGCTGAGCTGTGTGAAGCCACATGTCCTGCGTGTGCCTCTAAAGAGTGGCTGTGTGTTATGACACGTATAACATGTGTATACACTAACGTATAAACTCCACGCACGCATGCGTGTATGTGTAAACGTTAAGCCCAATAGCTCACTGGCCGTGTCACATGTATTGACTTTCTGTTTTACCCCCCTTTCCATTGGACTCACTTTATCTTCCACTCACTTGCCACCATTCACGGGGCGGGCATCCTTGCTGCTAAATAGGAGGACACGCCACTCCCTGTGCAGTGGCACGAAAAAAGAGAATGCACCAGGCTGGGTCAGAGCAGAGGAAGGTGTGAAAACTGGGAACATCTCATAGTTAGAAAACAACAAGTGGGCAGGAAACAAGAGCCGTGGGTGCAGAGGAGCGTGTCAGGAAGAAAGGGCACGAGGAAGGCGTCTGTGTGCACGGGGTCAGGCCAAGGCCAGCTGGTGTGCGGCCTGTCAGGATCCAGTGCTATACTGGGTGGTGGTTCTGACTCCTCCTTCCATGTGGTCACCTGTGGCAGGTGAGTGTGCACGTGTGTGTGCAAGTGTGTGTGTGCGTCACACTACAGATAATGAAACACCATGAAAAATCCTTGGGCTTTTTGATTCAAGAAATTATTTTTATGGTAATGGTACAGAAGGGAAGTCTCTACTTTTATAGAGTATTCTTATGGACAACTTTTTCTTTTCCTTTTCTTCTTCCTGGAGATTTTGGTGCAAGACTAACATGCGTGATGCCTTAGCCGTGGATCCCCACTTTCCTACTCCACAAAGAGCTGAATTTCACTGGTTGAGTCTCCTCCGAGCCAGACCCCTGCTCTGTGCCCTCTGCACGGATGGCGCTCACGTCCCCTCTCCTGGGAGGGCGCCAGCCAGGCGCCCTGATCGTGCTCCCCCAGGTGTCTGAGTCTCTAGCTCAGGGTTTTAGGATGTCTTCTAATTTCTCCACAGCAAACCCCAAGCCCTTGTGTGCTGTTTCATCATCTCTTCCCTAGTGTTGGGGGCCAGAGCCCTCAGAGCCTGACATGGTGAGATTTGGGTCGCTGCGCAGAAAGTCTTGAGCACAGAAGGGCAAATCCCAGGAGGAAATCCGAGACCGAAAGGGAGGGTTATGAGCAGCCAAAAAGGCCAGAAGGCCGAGCTCAACCGGATGGACGGCCACTTCCTGTCTCAGAACTTCCTTCAGGCTCCCCAGCCTGGCCAGCTGAGCCTGGAGGAGCTGGAGGAAGAACGCTGGCCGGGGTCAGGGGCCGGGTCAGGGGCTGGGCTGTGGGCCCGGCTGTGGGCCTGGCGAGCCACTCACCAGTGGGACCCCGGGCCTCACAGGCCTTGTCGTCACGTCTGTGACAGAGGGAGGTGGTGTGTGTGTAAGAACAGTGTGTGGGGAAGTGAGTGTGTATATATGTGTATATATGCAAGAGTATGTGTGTAAGTAAGACTAAGAGTGTGAGAGAGTGTCTATATAGGTGAGAGTGGGTGTGTGAGAGTGATGTATGTCTGTGTGAGTGAGTGTGTGAGAATGTGTTTAAGTGAGAGTGTGCATCTAACTGTATGTGCACACAAGGGTGTGTGGTGTGTGTGAGAGTATGAGTGTGTAAGAATGTATAAGTGTGTGAGTATGTATGCATGTGTGGACTTGTATCAAAGAGTGTGTTTGTGTGTGAGTGTATAATTGTGTTTGTGTGCATGTGTGAGAGTGTCTGTGTGTACGTGTATGAGTGTGCATGTGTGCACACGTGTCTGGGAGCGTGTGTGGTGTGTAAGTGTATATATAGAAATATGTATATATTTAAAATGTAAAGACTTTAAAAAAACACAACCAAAGTGCCATTATCCCACCTAAAACACTTCATTAAAATTCCTTAAAACCACCTATATGTAGTCAGTGTTCAGATTTCCCCAGTTGTCTCGTGAGTGGCACTTTCCCAGTTTGTTGAGTCAAAATCTAGACGGGGTTCTTCTCCGGCGCATCGGAAGGTCACTCTCGCTCGCTCTCTGCGTGTTGTCAGTCTAGTCACAGTTCGCCCGTCCTCTCGAGGTTTTCTCTGTCTGAGTCCCGCTTCTTCTAGACTTTGCCTCCAGACCTCACTTATCCCGTCCCTCTGTCCGATGTTTCCTGAGAATTAGCAGCTTAGTCCTCCAGGCTCAGACGTTTGTCAGGAGCAGCTCGTGGGGACGGCGTCCTCCTGGTGAGAGTACATGCCGTCTGCTTGTGTCTTGGTGGCTTGAGGGTGTTGAGAACCGATTCCGGGTGGAACAGCGCTCTCGGTGCCCCAGCCCACGTCTGAGATAACCCTCTGCGCTTGGCAGGCTCCGGGGCTCAGAGAGGGGCAGCAATGCTTGTCGTTTTTAAAGGAACTTCAGCTCCTGGAGGGAGGCCTCCATCCGTGGCCCACCCTGGGCAGGGCTCGGGGGCGATGAAGCGTCTCCTGCCCGTCTCCCCTCTCGTGGCTCGGGACCGGCGATGACGGCGCGGCCCGTCCTCCTTGTGACCTGTCCTGTGGGCTAGCAGCTGGAGGCGGCAGGTCTGTGGATGACCCTGCTGCACGGAGCCCGGGACTCCCTTTATTTCGGCATCTGCTTTGTCCCAACGTGTAGTGACGCAGCACCTCCCAGGTGCTGCGGTGAGATCTTAGGAGCTCTCGTTTGCCGGGGAGAAAAGACTCTGCAGCCCGTGGGCTGAAGCTGGGTTGGCCGAGGACAAAATTGCCAGACAAGTCACAGGGGACCTTATCTTGGATGTTTTCCGAAGGAAGAGAAGAAATGAGGACAGACGGAAACTGTGTGCGTCAGATTGAGATAGGGGACAGCTGAGGGGCAAGGGCAGCAGAGAGACACAAACAAAAAGGGAATAAAATAAGATAACTATCCAAAACCCTTTTTGGCCTATTTTCTTGTGTGTGGGAAAGATGCAGCAAGTGGGGCCTGCAGGACAATACGGGGACTGAAGGCGGGGGGCAGTGCCCATGCATGTGTCGTGGAGCAGATCAGGTCTGACGGCTGCTCACGGTACACCCCCCCACCTTCCTGTCCCTCTTCCTATCGTCATGTGGATACATCAGAGAGCTGCCTGGGAGACAGGAGCATCTCCAGGGACCAGGTAGATGGCCGGGCTGCCCGTGATCTTAGACGGCAAGTTAAGCACATGCCTGTGTCATCGTGGGACTAAACAGCTCTGGACGGTAGAGGCGATCCTAGAATCTGCGAGGGTGAAGAGGAGTGCGGTGAGGAGCCGAGAGAGGGCAGGGAGGGTGGGGGAGAGCACGGCCTTTGCTGTGTGGTGCACAAGACGAGCCCTCTTTCCTCCTCCTGACGAGATGCTCCGTGGGTACCGGTTACCTGCTCATCATGTTGGGTTGGCTCACTGTTGTTCTGAGGAAGTTGCTTGTTTGGATCTGGATTCACTGTGGGCATTAGAGGGGTGGGAAGAGGCCAGCTGTGTGGTCACAGAGGGACAAGTACGCAAAGAGGCACTGACGGGCACTGACAATGGACAATGGTGTTTCCGCGTGGATGGTCTTCGCTTCCATCAACAGCTGTGTCACGGGAGGATGGCTGCACAGCGAGCCTAATTGCGGATTCCTGGCACTTCTGTGTTTTGTATCTTCCAGATTAGACTTGGGAACAAAGTGGTGAATATGAATGCAACCGACGGCTCTGCTGACACAGCAGATAATGGCTTGAAGGGTGAAAACTCCAGACCAGGTCTGCGACCAGCCTTTCACAGCAGAGAGATGGCTCTGAAGCTTGGGAGCAGCCAGGTTGTCAGCTGTCTGACGCGGCCGATGGATGGGAGGCGGAGGGCAAACTTCGACAGACTTCTCCCCTCCTTACTTTCCCTCATTCTTTTTTTCTCTCCCAACAGGAGGTTGGATGTGCTTGAGATTTCTGCAAAAGAAGAGGGGGGATGGGCAGCTTACATGTGGGGGCTCTCCCGTCATGTCTCAGTCCTGCCCTGCACAGCGGTGTCTCCTTCGGGCTTTTCCTCACTCAGGAAGATGTTTGTTGAGTGGCTTCTACTGTCACTACTAAAAGCGGAAGGTGCCGCGGGCACCACCCTCTGAGGTGAACTGTCAGTGAGCCCTCTGCATTGGGAGAGCGGGCAGGGCTGCCCCGTTCCCTTGACCCCGACCTCTTTGCACTGGGAGTGGCTGGGGGGAGAGGCTTCCCTGCCCGTGGCGGAGGGGGGGATTCTGTTTCAATCACCTCTTCTCCACTCGTTGCTGAGGGAGGGATTGCCACCCTAGAGTTAGGGGGATGATCCTGCTGGACAGATGGACAGCAGTGTATTACTCACGTGTGCTCTCGGCCTGGGGGAGGAGGACACGGCACACGGCACAGGACCACACGGGGGTGCCCTCGGGAACAGCGTGAGCCAGCAGGGCTGTGGGCAGTGGCCGTTGCGGTAAGGAGGGTGGGGTGCCCTGGTTCCAGTGGGAGAGTGTGACTGGCCGTGTGAACGGTTCTGCGGGTGGGCAGGAAACTAAACCCGCAGCTCAGGGATGAGCAGGAGCTGCCTCCGGACCATCTGACAAGAGGCTGTTTGGGGGGACCTTCGGGTGGAGCAGAGTGCCGAGGGGGACTTGCAGGTGCACTGTTGCAGGCTCTCCCGACTCTACCAAGTGTCCAGGCAGCACACACTCTTGAACCTCGGTTCTAAGCCCTGTGCCCTGAAACGGGATGCTCCAAGAAGTCACTGGTAGGGACAGGAGGGCCTACCAGGAGGGGAGCAGACAGCTCGCCTACCTGCAGACTTGCAGCTGAGTCCCGCTGCCCTGCCTGAGCTGCCGGGGTGCAGACAGGAGACCCTGGGGGCCTGAGCACCGTCCCCGGGCAGCTCCACAGCTCACTCACAAGGTGCAGAAGAGGCCCCAGGGGGTCCTACAACTTCACTCGAATGGGCACGGAGGTCCCAGAACATCACAGGCTGCCCAGGTGGTCGAAGCAAGTAGTCGTTCAGCCACTCCAGAACAGGATGGATGGGGGAGTGCCGGTCCTCGAAGACTGAGGGGGGAGGCTGGGGGGACCATGGCTCGTGTCTTAGGGGCTCCATGCAGATCCTAGTAACAGAGACTGGAATGCAACAGCTCAAGTTATGGATTTTGTTTTTCTCTTACCTAACTCGAGGTTGTCCAGGGGTAGTTGTCCAGGTGATAGCATAGCACAAGGTGGCCGAGCCACTGCCGTGGTCCTTGTTCTCTCCAGGAAGGAGGGGAGGACAAAGGCCAGAGGGCAAAGGCTACCTGCCAGGAGACAGTCTGGAAACCTCCTCTTACATCTCCTTGGTCAGACTTAGACATGGCCACTCTTATCTGCAAGCAAGCTGGAAAATACTGTTCCAGGTTGGGCACGACGCCAACAAAACTGGGGTTTCTGTCGTTCAGGAAGTAGGGGGACAAGTGAGAGCCCCGCTGGGGGAAGACTTGCTGCTCAGGGCGCTCAGAGAAACAGGACGTGGCAGCGAGGAGAACGTCCCTTCTCCCTCCACCAGCCCTGCGGGGTCCCTGCAGGCAGCCTGGGGGTGCAGGACCACGGAGCGAGGGATCCTCGGGGGACTTGGGTACAGGAATCGACCTCTGTCCCAGACAGAGAAAGAGAGGCGAGGATGGCCATCTCAGAGCCTAGAGTGACACCCCTCCTCTTCCATGGTCTTGGGAATGACTCACGGGGTGAAGCCACTGATGGAAGAACAAGCCAACAGGAGCATGGGCCAATTGCACAACCCTCAGACTTCCAGAAGACCAGGGAACAAATGGCCCCACAAAGCCCTGGAGACCAGTGCCTGGAAACACAGACAGTGGTGGTTTTCACACCGACCTCAAAGTGACCAAATTGAGAGTCATGATTAGACGAGAAATGGCGAGTCTAATTCGCACACTACTGGACACCTCCACTTCTTGCCTGTGGGTACGGCAACAGGGTTTTGCAGGCTGAGCTCAGCTGGAGGTGGTACTCAGGGCAGCCTGCGCTCTGATTTCTGAGTATAATATTGTGTGGCTGTTTCTGCTGAACCTCAGAACACACCTTTGCAATGAGACAGCACACGTGTGTTTCGCACGACACTAGAAATACCGGCAGCTTGGGGGCGAGGAGAGATACACCACCTGGACATGTATCGCGAAAAGAATTCCTGGGAGAATTCTCGAACATCAGTACAGCTGGAGATGTTGTACCATCCCTCATCCGAGCGGCTTCGCACCCAGCGTTCTGTCGGTGCTGGAGGGAAGCCCACAGCCTCCCCTGCTGTGCCGAGTGAAAGCTCCAGTCGAGATGAGCTGCACACTGGGAAAGACGGAAACGAGGTGCTCGGAAATCAAACTATAATAACGTGGAAAGCACAACTACAGTCTGCTCTTGCTCCTTACCTCTGGATCTTTCTCAAGAAGCAAAACAAAGAAAAAATCACCTACAAGGGAAATCAAGAAATGCAGCCCTGGTTGAGTGGTCCCACACACGGCCGTCCCCGAGAACGCTCTGCACGGCCGCTGTGAGCACGCCGGCAGCAGCCAGCTCCCACTCAGCCAGCCTGTGGAGGGGGCACTCCGGGCCACTGTGGCTCGTGTCCTCCCGGACTCACTGCCCACCTGCTGCCAGCCCGCTCCGGGAGATGAGGGCAGACATGTGTGGGAGGGAAGGTGGACAAAGGAGAAACTGGGGTGTGCTGGAAAGGCCAGCCGTAAAAGTATTCCAAATATTTCTGAGCCCCATTTTTAACTTCCTGCTCAGTTCTCAACATTTGATACAGCTGTCAGTTTAGCCAAACCTCCTCCTCTGCTGGAGCCTGCCTCTCCTCCTGGGTGTTCATGGACACAGGAGCCGCCGTCCAGGCCGGCTGCCCCCTGACCGCACTCTTGGGAGACGCGCGAGTCTGTTGCCATGGATCACGCTTCCATCCAAACAGAACAACAGTAGCTCATTTATCTTCCCCAAGTTAATATGCGCGTCTGAACTATTGGAAAATCTCCAGACGTAAACCCAGTTGTGTGCGTTGATGTGCTTTCTCTCTTCCGCTCTCGATTTACCCTTTGCTCTGATCTCCTTTCAGGGGGGTCAAGCAAGTCTTTGGAAAGTCCAGAGAAGCCCTGCCCTTTATGCTGTCCACTTTCACATCCAAGTGACATTAGCTCGTGTCACTTCAGAAAAGGGGGGACTTCTTGGCAGATGCACGTCATTTGGATTCAGCTCGAGCTGAGTGCCAGGACACGATGTTTCGGGAAGGACAGTATTTTCCGCTAGGTTCTGGTTTTCCTCTCCAAAAGGACAAGTGCGGAGCTCAGATCTGTGACAGCGTGTCTTAGAAGCAGATGACGAATGGCCTGAAGCGCGGTTGCGCCCTGGCTCCATTTAACAATGGCAGGTCAACAGTGGAATGCAGAGACCCTGCCTACGCTTACCAAGAGTTTGCTTTCAGCATCAAAAAGGACTCCATGCAGTCAGTCCATAGGAGAGTTTCAAGACTTGCTGTGGTCTTCCTAGTAACCATTCAAAATTCTGTGCTTTTAATTCAAGCTGACAATAAAATGTCTCTCTTTGTGGGCTGCTTACGTTCTGCATCCAAGGAATTTCAGTGACATCAGCCAACGCTCTGATTCAGGCTTGCTTTTTCTCTTATCCAATGGTACACCTGTGCCCTTCAGAGGGTGGGAAAGTTGCTTGCTATTCAGAGAGCTGGTCAGCAAGTGAGGCTCGCCTTCTTCACCGCGTGTCGGGGAAGGCTGGAAAACACTTCCGATGTTTTGTTTTATGCTGTTTATGTTTGTTTCCCTTTTTCTCTCTTCTTTCTTTCCATCCAGGGCTTATCTCCCCCTCTTCACCAGACTCTCCTTGTCAAGGTCTTTCCTGACTTCCATTTTGCTAAGTCTGTTGTCCGGTTCTCGGCTGTTATCGGACTTGACCTGACACTCGGTTTGACGGGGCTGACAGCTCTTTGCTTGAATCTCCTCTCCTCTTCGTCTCCACGCACAGCAGCCCCTGGCTCTCCTGTCTCTTGTGTGGTCTCCTGAGCTGTGTGCATGCATCTCCTGACCTCTGAATACTGGCATGTTCCAAAGCTGGCCTCATTCCTTTCTTTTTCTCCTCTATCTGCGCTCACTCCCTAGTTGCGTCTGTCTAGTCTCACGGTGTTTAACACCAACTGCATCTATATCTCCCAATCTAAATGCGTCTCTGTGTCTCCAACCCAGTACCTCCCACACTGCCTACTCTCCGTTTGGAAGTCTGACAGCATCTCAAACTCAGCCATCCGGACAGAGCCCGCCTGTCAAGCTGACTACCTCGAGGTGCTCCTGTCTCAGGAAGCAGCCGTCCATCCTCAGCCCATCCTGAGGCAACAAATACCAAGTCTTGTCTTGTCTCACATCCCACCTCCAACGCCTTAGCACAGCCCTTTGTGTCTACCTTGAAAGGATGTGTGGAATCTGGTCATTTCCCACCACCTCCATCATTAACTCTCTGGTCCAAACCACCACCACCACATCTCACTGGGACTATTACCACAGCTCCTACTGGTGTCCCAGTTTCTGCCCTTGCCCTCCTACAGTCCACTGTCAACACAGCCTCCAAAGACAATCTTTTAAGGCATAAGTCAGGCTACCTTAGTCTTCTCCCTGAGCCCTTCTCCAGATGCTTTATTTCACTCTGAGTAAAAGCCCTTAAAGTGGCTCCAAGACCTTCCACACTCATCCTTTGTTACATCTGTTATCCCACGTCCACCCAACTCCTCTCCCCTTGCTCCACTCCTTCGGTCCATGGGCCCCTTCTCCTTGGATACACCAGGGACATGCCCACCTCTGACCTTTGCCTCAGCTGATCCTCTCTCTGGAACACTCTGCCACCAGATCTCTCTCACATCCTTACAGACTCTCCTCCAATCACACTGCATTAGTGGGACCTTCCCTGAATGGTCTCAATGACAACAATGACAACGATCCCCACCCTGACACACAGAGTCTTTATCCTCGTTACGCTACTTGGCTTTCTCCAGTCGCATGTCACCAGTTGACACACTGCTCATTAACCTGCTCACTATTTGAACGGTTACTTCCTCTCTCACTCTCCACAGAGGGAGGGTCTTTGTTTTGTTTGCTGCTTTGTCTTGGGCACCCAGAATAGTGCTCGACCCAGACAATACTCAAAAATGCTTATGGAATGAATGAGTTAATTCAAGCCTTGATTTGTATTCTTTTGTGTGTGGCCCATTTTGTCATTATAAAGTTTAAGAAGAGAGAGGAGAGCTTCAGAAGGAGGCTGCTGCCCACATGCTCCACCAGGGCCTCCACTTGGCGTGGACAGCAGTGTGGGCAGGGGCCAGATCTCCTGAGCGTATCCCAGCAAAGACTGCGGTATGTCACCAACATTAGGATGGGCTGTGTGCTCCAGCGGGGCCTGCGATGACCTGCAGGCCACATTACGCAGGGTCCCCCTGGGGGGACAGCTGGTCTACCACAAGAGTGGCTTTAAGGAGCAGGTCCAGATGTCCCAGCAGTAAGGACCTACCACTGCCTCACCCTACGCTGTCCTGACAACTGTTCTGTAAGTCTGATCTATTTAAAAATGAATCATTAAAAAGAAAGTGGAGAAATTCTGGAAGATAAAGTATACTAACAAAATAATATTTCCGATAATGAGCTTTCTATCAGACTCGGTCAAAAATTTAATTAGCCCTGACATACTCTACTCCCTCACATTAATTATAGCGGAAATATCCAACAAACGGAAATGATGGTTATTCAGTTTTCAATCAGGGTCAGAATGATACAGAACTCTATTCCCCACAACAAAGCAGGCTTCTTCTCTATGGATTTCCCAGGATGGGCCCAGGGTTCCAACTCCTTCTTTATTTTACCTCTTTTTAATTTTTAAAATAAGATGCTTTAATTTTGAAGGTCCTTAAAGAAAATTTCAAAAATACTAAGAAGTGGGAAAAAAGAACAAAGAAAATCTAATTCCAGCCCTTCTTAACGTTCTGGTGCATCTCCTTCCACATTTCCAGAAGCAGGCTTTGGTTTGGTTTGAGGAGGGTCTGAGCATATTTATGTATGATTTTATCCTCCGTGTCTTCTCCTTTCATCTCTAGTATCTTTCCACGCTGCCTCATGGTCTTCCTCAGTGACAGCTTTAGTGGCTAAGGAGACTCCATCACGAGGAGTGCCTGCTGTGGGGGCCGCGTCCATCCCTGCGGAAGGCAGAGCTGTGGATGGCTCCTGCTGCGCTGTTGAGTCGGCCTGCTCAGGCCACACTGCTGCTGTGCTCCTGGGCCCCAGACAAGCAGTTTCCGATTGGACCAGCTTCCCTAGGGCTTTCTGTTACTCACAACCAAAAGCATTCTCTTCTAAAATAGGTAATATTGAGCAACACTGGAGCCCCTCCAATGAATATTTCTGAGGTTTTTGAGAGAAAATTGTTGGCAGCCTCAAAATGTTTTAGCACAGACTAAGAAGAGGGGTGCCCTTCTTGAATTTCCAAAGCTGCCACAAATGGTCTGCTATTCCAGCTCGTTCGTACCTGTGTCTGTTCTTAGGGGGCCTCCTCTTGAGTCTTCCCACCCAATCCCATGGTGCCCTGGTGATGAGGGAACATGGTGCCCACTCCATCCGTGGTTGCACTCCATCCAGGGGGCCCAGTAATCCCAGCCTCCCAGGTAGGAGACCCCCAGTCTTAAAACAGTGAGTTAAGTCAAAGTGCCAAAAGCAGATTTGGAGGGATTTCTGACTTTTCTTTTTGCAGAAATAGCTCCCACTCGAAAAGTGGATAAACACGTGGCAGGACAGAGAATGCCATTTTTTCCATGCTCTAATATTTTATATTTCCTTGAGTTTTAAGCTTTTAAAGGTAAATATTTATTTTTTCAGTGCCATTGGTTTATTTTGATCTCTTTCTATTCTGGTTTGGGACACAATGCTGCAGGTGACAGAGCAAGGAGAATCAGACCAGGAACTGTGACCGATGGGAACATGAGCGAGCTGGTAGATACGCATGGGACCAGCCCTGCCCACCCAGACCCCCGAACCTTCTCAACTCGCTGCTTCAGTGGAAGTGTGGCCAGCCAGGGACTTGTCTGCCAGGTCCTTGCAGAACACTGCTTTGTCTCGCAAAGCTCAAGAAGCTCAAGGAATGCGTCAGGGACGCCGAGGGGCAGGGGCCACCCCGTGGCCAAACTACTCTGTCAGTAGAAAGATGAAAAGAGAGCAGGAGCTTTGTTATCCAAAAAAGCTTAAGACCCTGGGATGGGGGGCAGCAGGGGAAGTCCAGCAAAGATTAAACAGTAACTTATAAAGAAGGATGGATGGGGGCTCACAAAGGGGAGTGTTGAAACAAATTGGATCCATGAGATAAATTACACGGAGTTATTAAACATCATTTTTGAAAAATATTTAATAACAAGAGGAAATAGAGTAAATCAATAAAAATTACAATCTTAACTTTATTCTAAAAAGGTATGTGAGCCTCCTGTCCAGACAGTAGGGAAAACTCTCTAAGTTTAAAACGCTCACCTAGACATATAAAATAACAAATTGTTCTCAGTCCATAACTGAGCAGAAAAATGAGCGTTCAGAGAGAGTCTAGGAACTTAATGTGTTTAGGAACTTAATAAGTGACCGATGTTGGGAGATGAGAGACCAGTGAGGAAATGGACTGGCCCCCTGGCTGTTCATAGGCTGAAAATGCCAAATTCAATCCCAAAGTGCCACACACAGAAAAATGAAGACGGAGAGACCACAGGAAACAAGGAAGAATTTCTTATGACCTCAGGGTTGAGAAGGTTTCTTGGGTAAACATCTAAAGCTCAAACCATGAAAGGAAAAAAGTGATAAATTCAGTTAAGTTGAAATTTCTGAATTCCAGAGGACACTCTAAGAGTTCCAGTAGCGACGCCTGGGTCTAGGAAAGATACTAGTAATGCCATAACTGACCGGATTACTGAAAAAATATGAATGATCCTACCAGCAATAGGAAGTTTATAGAGAAACCACATTGAAACAAAGATCGCCTCTTCATATCCAACCTTCTCTCTTCACCGCCTCCCTTCTTAGGCTGGTCGAGTGGCTAAATTTGGCCAGTGACATTTGAGCAAAGGGATGTCTATCATTTGTAGCTTTGGCCTCTAAGATGTCTCATGCAATCTTCTGTGGGCTCTGTCTTCTCTATCTTCACAGCTGGAAGAGAAGGCCCACAATGGGGAACCGTGTAGTGGAATGTACTGACTCCACTTGGATAAGAGCCACCATCTAGGCTGGGTCTGCATCAGACTAGCATGTGAGCAAGAACTAAACATTTATCGTGTGAACTTGCTGAGATATTTGAGCTGCCTGTTAGAGCAGCCAGTGTTAATTCCCTTCATCCATTTGGAAATTAGTGCCAAGGGGTTGCTATGTATGCAAACCCTCAGCTCCGTGGTCTTAGTTTTGGGTGGCAGGTGGCAAGGAAGCTAACACTTGGGCCTGGACACATGGAAATCCATTTTATGATCAGGTAAACATTTGGTAAAACTGTTGCCTGTGATCATTGGGAGGCACGTCATGTGCCTAACTGAGCTGACGGCTGGAGGAGGAGAGGGGAATTGGAAAGGTGCAGGGCCAGCCCCAGTGGCCTAGTGGTTAAGTTCATCACACTGGTCTTTGGCAGCCCAGGTTTGGCTCCTGAGTGTGGATTTACTCACTTATCTGTCAGTGACCATGCTGTGGTGGTGGCTCACGTACAAAAAAAAAAAAAAAAAAAAAGGGAAGATTGGCAATGGATGTCAGCTCAGGTCAAGTCTTCCTAAAAAAAATGAAAGGTTCAAAGTGTGCATGGGAAAGGTGCTCCAAGAACGGGAGGAGTCAAGAGAAAACTAGGCAGCTTACAAGAAGAAATAAAAGAGAACCAGGAGGTCCACTAGTTGCAGTCAGCCAGGGTTGGGGCAGCCAGGGACTTCTGAGCACAGGCAACGAGAGATGGACTAAAAGAAGCTTGGCCCACGCATGGCAGTAAAGCTACTCCAGTGAACAGAGGGACAGCTGAGCCGAGCGTGTGGGCCTCCCACACAAGCCTCAGGGCCCCAAGGAGGCCTCCAGAAAGCCCGAGGGGAGGACACAGTAGTGAAGAAGACTTGTCTCTATACTCGGGGGAAACAATGGTGGGCATAATTACTGGAGTTTGGACCTGAATGGAAGCAAATAGACCAGAAATATATCAAGCTTTTGAGGAAATCATG